CCCCCCCCCCCACCCCCTTTCTCCCCTGCCGTAACTCTAGCAGTTACACTCCAGTTGGTAGTTGGCAGGACTTAAGAGATCCCAATTTACTACTCTGATTCTATTAAAAAAAAAAAAAAATCATCAAAATTGGCCTCTATATCTGTGTGAGCAATTGGGTAGGGATGGCTAAAAACTTAACTCTGAGAGTGTGGCCACCTATTCCAGCTGTGCCAGCACAGGTTTGGGGAGCAGGCATAGCACAGTGGTAGGAGCACTCGCCTCCCACCAATGTGGCTCAGGTTCGAATGCTCGACCCATAAGTGGGTTAAGATTTTTCTGGGTTCTCAACTTGCTTCGGCCCTATCCCCCACTCGGGGGCAAGGAACTAAGCAACTTGCTCAAAGGGTGTTTCTCTGGGTTCTCCGGTTTCCCTCCCTCCACAAAAACCAACACTTCTTAGTGGGAATTCCGATTTGATTTAGAAACAGTGGACAAAGAGCATCTTTTTTTGCATTTCATAGATTGACTTTCTGGATAGTGCATTCAAAAAGAAGGACACAAATGATTTTTCGGTGAGTAACAAGTAGGATGTTATTTACTGTTAAGAAATAGAAAACATGTTCCGTGTTTCTATTTAAACAATAGAGTGTTTCTGTTGAGGAACTATTGGGTGATAGCTACCCCATGGAAATTTGATGTTCTTAAAACAAACATGCTAGTTCCAAGAACATCAAATTTCCAAGGGGCAACTATCAGACCGATAGTTCCAAGACATAAACACTCTATTGTCTTTATTGTTCACCACTAAAGTTTCTTCTGTGCGCCAGTTCAAAAATCATATTGAATTATTTTCAACACTTTTACAGCAGATGAAAGCCGTGACAGCCACAAGTAAAATTCGAAAATGAAAACCAACAAAAACCCGCTTAATACAATTTCAAGTCTTTATTTCTTAGAAACCTGCTTGTTCAGAGAAAATTTTTCATGGACGAGTACTATCCGTCCGGGTATTTTCCGCGGATGGGCACTATGGGCTGATAGTTTCTCTCCGTGGACGAACACTATTGCAACATGTGATCAATTTAAACCAATAAAAATCAGAAAAAATTTATTGGTGAACTATAACCTGAGGGTTGTCCAATACTGTCAAGTAGATTCCATCAGAAAAGGGATCTTACGAATCATTCAACTCGACAAATGGAGAATGTTATTGACGATCCGACAGGTTGAGTTGTCGATTGGAAAATTGCATCTCATTAGCAGGACTTGAAAAACATTTCACGATATTCTTTTGGCAGGGCCCCAGTGTAACTTTGTCGATTCGATCGATTTGTTTGATTCGTCGAATGGAGAATTTTATTGATGATTTGACAAGTGGAGTTGTCGATCGGAAAATTGCATCTCATTAGTGGGACTGAAAAAATATTTCACGATATTCTTGTGGCAGGGCCCCAGTGAAACTTTGTCGATTTGATGGATTTGCTCGATTCGTCAAATGGAGAATTTCATTGACGATCCGACAAGTGGAGTTGTCGATCGGAAAATTGCATCTCATTTATACAACCTTTGGTGTTTTTAGAACGAAGAATATTCATGTATTTGTCCTCTTTCACCGGTGTTTTTAGAATGAGGAATATTCATGTGTTTATGTACTCTTTCACCGTGCTTTTCTTATAGCGACGTAAATGANTGTGTTTATGTCCTCTTTCACAGTGCTTTCGTTATAATAGCCTGTGAACGAATCGACAACGTTGGACCGCTGCGTCTGTTGTTGCTAATGAGATGCGATTTTCCGATCAACAACATCCACGTTTCGCGGTCGTGTCCATTCGATGAATCGAACGAATCGGTCGAATCGACAACGTTGGACCGCTGGGTCTGTTGTCACTAATGAGATGTGATTTTCCGATGGACAACATCCAGGTTTCGGGTCATGTCCATTCGACGAATCGATCGATCCGACAGGCTTTATATCCAGCTAATAGCTAATGAGATGTATTTTTCCGATCGACAACAAATAGAAAGTTCTCTTTTCCGATGGAATCTACTTGACAGTATTGGATGTGAGTGCACAAGTGGGAGTTTGGGAGAATGACAAATGCTGTGTTCCAACATGAGCTCACAGGCCAGTGTTTCCACAGCTTTTTGAGTTCTCCCAAATTTTCACAACTGTTTCTACAACTCAAAAGAAACACGGAACATGTTTTCTGAAAACAATTTGTTTACGTTGATCATCAAAATGAAAATTCTTTTTGCTCATGTCATCATTATGTCAAGAGCTCAGTCTTGTTCTGTGTTTCTCTTGAATTTTAACATTACAGCTTTTAGCATGTGCTCCCTCAAAGGGTGTTCTTTTAATAACGCTTTTCTACATTCGAATTTAAAAAAAAAAATTCTTAATGTCCATAGAATTGGAGGTTATTGGACATTATCAATGAAAGTAATTTCTTCATTTTATTTATTTTTAGTGTGATATCGATGTCTATCATGACGTTGAGCAAAGGATAATTTATCTACACCTTGTCTCTGTTTATGATGTGTCAAGACTGTTACAGCTTTGTAAACAAGCCCCACAAGAAGCGCAAAATGCTGTAAGTTGTATTCAAGAAAATTATCAGCTTTCACAAATATGAGGTAACTTCATGGTTGATGATTATACAACGGTATTTTCATTCAGAGGTTATGAATTTTTGATTGAATCTTGATCAAGAGAATGTGTTTGTGATTCTTCATAACAAATAAATAAAAGTTATAATACATGTATGTAGAAGCAATAATTAGTATTACTTAGTTAGAGGGTATTTTTATATTTTATTAAATTTAATATTGAATGTACATTTAATTTATCAGGAGTCTCACCAGTACTGGATGTCGCATGAATACTATTATGCCTGTGCCCTTATGTTCCTGTTCTCTGTCTCTCATATTGTTGTTGTAAGTACACAGAAGATATTACATGGCAGCACAAAGATATGAATGTTATTTTTGAGTGATAAAAACAATATTTTATGAACAAGTACAGCGTGGGAGTAAAATATTGTTTATAACAAAATTCATACACATGTATCTTTAGCCAATGCTGTGTAATTTACTTTTTATTATATACAATGTATTCTAAGACAAACTGACTCTTTGCACAAACAACTCTGAAAAGCGGGAAATGATGTCATCAATATTGTTACCAGTGTGGATGTGGAAAATACACCACTCAGGTCCCAGGTGTAGTTTTGTTAATCGTATTCATGACTGTTATGAGTAATGTATTTTCCAGTAAAACACCCATGTCTACATAACAAGTGTAGTTATTATTTCTATTTGTTAGTTTTGAAGTACATGTACTTGCTAAGAGTTTTTCTGCTGAATTCTTTGAACTTGTCTACTGGCCAGTCAAGACTGAACTATTTACACATGTAGAACCTTTTCCCTGGTTTACTTACTATTTTGTTTATATGGGGACGGAATTGATATCCACAGGTGGAGAGGAGTATACAGTCTTTGCATTAAGTTACTGTGAGGTAGAATCAAGAGTACACATTTTGAGAACTATCACTTGTTTTTCATAATAAATGTACATATATGTTTGAAAATGTTACTTTTGTTTTCCTCTCTCTGCTGTGGTGGTGCACATTCATGTATCAAATAGAATATAAATTTTATTTTAAAATATCAATAAAACTTACATGTATTTTCTTTTTCAGCTTTTGCAACCTTCACAGACATTTGATCTTAGTTACATCAGACTGTTTCGCACACTGGCTTCAACAAGGTATGTAATTATGTACAAATCCATATGTACATGTACATGTAGTCTTGTAGACCACTGAATGTGATTATGTCACATGCTCAAAATTCACAACCAAGCCTAGCTACTCTGGTGCATTCATGTTGTGCTCACATAATTGTGTATTCTTTTTTATTGCTGCTGCTTCGGGAATTCATTCATGATAAAATTTGCAAAGTTGCATTTTTAAACCAAGGCTTGGTGGTGGATTTTGCTAGTCTGATGTCATCATGCATAAGGACTTCCATATGGACAATTAACTTCATACAAAAATGTTGTTTTCATTGACTTACATGTATGCAAACCAAATTTTTATGTTTTATAAGGGGGATGGGTCATGTAATTTTCAACCTTCATTTAGGGGTGGGTCAGTTAGAAAGGAAAAGGAAGTGGTGGGTCATGTGTTTTTTATGCACCACATTTCCAAATACTCTGCGTCCTCTATACTTTTTGACCAGTCCCTAAGCCCTGGGCTTATACACACCTGCCAGTCATAAAGTATTAGGGGTATGGTAGTACATATAGTCATTTATGTATTGCTTTTTTTAATCTTCATGATAGACACCAGTTACTGCCTCAGATTTCCCAGTTGTTGTCTGGTGTAGAAGGTATCCCAGACATTTGGAGGCAAACAGGCAGACCATGTATCCCCANAAATTTTTATGTTTTATAAGGGGGGTGGGTCATGTAATTTTCAACCTTCATTTAGGGGTGGGTCAATTAGGAACGAAAAGGAAGTGGTGGGTCATGTGTTTTTTATGCGCCACATTTCCAAATGCTCTGCGCCCTCTATATTGTTTGACCAGTCCGTAAGCCCTGGGCTTATACAAACCTGCCAGTCATAAAGTATTAGGGGTACGGTAGTACATATAGTCATTTATGTATTGCTTTTTTTTAATCTTCATGATAGACACCAGTTACTGCCTCAGATTTCCCAGTTGTTGTCTGGTGTAGAAGGTATCCCAGACATTTGGAGGCAAACAGGCAGACCATGTATCCCCAGACTGGTTTGTTCTTTAAAGCAGGTTGGTCAAAACTGTTTTACGTTTTTCTCACTTGCGCACGTCAACAATGGGTGCATTCCTTGGAGGTGATCTGAATCATGGTGCAACAAAGGAGCTGATGAATCTGTGACCAGAGTGGATTCATCATTTCCTTTNATAATAATAATAATAATAATAATAATAATAATAATAATAATAATAATAATAATAATAATAATCTATTGGTATCTCTTGGGTGTTCAGTCTCAAAAGGTCCACAGCGGGAGCTTTCGCAGTACCTCATACAACTTAAACATTGTTGTTCTTAATCCACAGTTCCAGCTCGTTGTTTACTGTGAACTCAAGCCATGCCTTTGTCCACGTGCAACCGTGCTCCACGGACTTTGACCCTGTGGCAATTCTTCTGAACACTCTCGCAAAACCTGCCATCAACACACAGTGGGGTAAGTTGTTACATTTGTCATTGCTCTTTATTGACAGTTATTGTTCAGAAGCGAGTTAATCACTGTTAAATATTTCCATAGTGGAATCAAGCCCTCTGCTGAGAAACAGCAAATTCCTGAAAAGAGAGGTTCCAGAATCAGGAGGGGACAGTGACTTGATGAATTCCACGGACGACGTGTTGTTCAGAGATTACCTCAAGCAACAGATCGATCATCTGATGACAGGAGATGCTGGTCGTGATGGGGTGGCTGAGGGACGCCGGGGAACACATGTGGAGGTACTGGACATTATATAAACATTAGCCTCCATTTAACTAGCCTGCTCTTAGATTACCATTTGGAGCGAAAATACATGGTATGATTGGATATATGTCCGCGGACATAATCTGTTCCGAGAAGCGAGCAGTTTTCCGAGCGCTTCATTAGCTCGAGGAAAACTGTGAACTTTGAGGAACAGATAATAGAGTTCTAAATTGCTTGCGTCACGTCGTCATGGGAGAAGAATTTATCCAGCCATATTTTCACGCCAAATGGAGGCTATTATGTTTATAATCCTTCAAATATTTTTCGCAACACGCGCAGTTTTGAAAATTGAGGATTATCACTCGGGTACCGTTATTCCTCAGCTTAAGCTGAGGAATATTCAGTCACGTACATGTACACCCTCTCCCTTCTTATAAGTTTCTCTCTCAGCAACCCCCCCTCCCCCCCTCACCCCGGCGCTTCCTCACAGCTGCATGTACACGCAAAGTTTCATTTACCTTGTCCATTCCACGAGCATTTCTTTATCTCGTCACATGTATAAGTTATTAATTTTTTTTTTTTTTCCTCGTACGTTGGTGCTTTCAGGTTCCTTCATGTCGTCTGTGGGCACGTGTGTCGCTGGCGCTGTTCGAGTTTTTCTTGACTCCAAAGAGTGACTTGATTGCTCCTCTTACGGCAATGGCGTCTCATCTGGATCTCGACATGAAGTTCTCTGAGGCGTAAGTGTTACGTCCATTACTCAGTGTTCCATTAACGCGTTCACTGGTGGGTTACGAAGTGAATTGTTGAGGCGTGCATCTTGTACAGCTGTAGAAGCTGAATATTCTGTGACACGCCCCAAAAACGTCGCGTACGGAAAATATAAACAAAACACAAAATCAAACACAAAAACAAAAACAAAACTGAACAAAAGTAGAAAAAAAAAAAGCACGCACACTTTTCTATTGACCTTGATTTTCCGTGAGATAAGCAGAGGAAGTATCTTGGTTTCCGATCAGTAAAGTTTAGCAAGCGTAGTCAAAATGTCCAACCAAGTCACTGGAAAATCACTTTGCAAGGTAATTTTGTTCTTTCCATGCTTCCCTTCGGTACACACCAGGGAACATGTTGGGGCCGGCGGTAGTTTCCTCATGCGATATGCCCGGTTTTGCCAAAAAGTTCTGTAATTTTGTCCCTGCAATCTGTTACTTGAAATTCAGCTGGTTTGAATTTGTGCGTCATGAAGTAGAGACAAAATGACCTCTGTTTTCAATGTCGCATCGTATGCACTTCTCTTGCAAACTGTCCCCGCTACAACATAGAAATGAGCCGATATCCGCTCCGTGTGCAGAAACTTGCGTACTATGTGTACGTGCGGCGTACACACAAAGGGGCGTGTCCCTGCTTCACTTCTCTGTAACATACATGTATGCCCTAACTAGTGCGTGTCGACCTTAATTTGATTTTAAGTTACGTCTATCCATCTATTGTATGTACTTGAACTTGATTTTGTCACAACACCTACATGATTATCAGTCGTTCTTTGATCCCATACGTACCTGCTCTACGTTACTCCCGTGGAATCTGGAGACCTGTTCAATCCATAGAGCACTCTGTACTTACCCTTAATCTCGTAATCGCGGAAAAGGAGAATGAAACGACTTTCATCGTCTCTCTTTTCCACCGCATATATTCCTTGCTCGATGTCTGTAGTGCGTAATTACCTCGGCAAAATACCTCATCGCAGATGTAGAAGATTCTTTATTTCTATATTTCCTCTATTTACCCAGACGCTGTCGGAAGGCAATACCTGTGGCTACGAGTGCTTACTTAGAAAATCTACCGTCACACTACACTCAGAATGTACACTTGAACCAGGTTGGCAGCTTTGTTATAATTTGGCGGGACTTCTTGAAGACGTTGTGTGGTTTTGCACTCGCTTTGGCATAGAGACAATTCGAATTAATGCAGTGATGGTTTATTGTATTTTCAGCTGTCTCAAGCTCTCCGCGTGTTTTCTTTGCACGCTCGCGGACCTGCATTTGAACACTACGCCGCCCAATTTCAGGATGAGTGCAACAAGGTTTGTTGGCGAGTACATCTTTTTTGCAGGGTTTTTTAATTCGATTTTGTCAAATATTAGAAAAAGAAAGATAACAATAAAAAAAGGCGAAGGAAACGCTAGCCGTGACCAGAAATTTGATAAACACCTCACTGAGTTATCTTTACGAGGAGTTACCTTTCTAGTCTTTTGTCAGCTACTTGAATTTTTCCTCATAATTATTAAGTGGGTGTGGTTTGACTGTACTTAGATTTCACACAAATGTAATTATTTCAATGTATTTTTTCGTAATAATTCTGAAGGTATGGATGAATGGAAGACAACTTTGCGAGGAGCGCAGCTTAACAGGACGCCATTGCGTTTATCCGGTAAGCCATTTTTCTTTTCTTTTAAATTCTTCATTCTTTTTGGTTTATTAGTTATCATTATTGGGACGCTCTTCCGCCTCAATAGACTATTGCATGTTGTGTCGATCCATTTTACTATAATGCTGTCTTTTAATTTGTGGAAACTTGCATACTGTGTCTCCAGCTCAAACAAAAAAAAAAGCCAGCACAAACTTAACTTGGTTTGCTTACAGTAAATAAAGTTGCTAACAGTAGTATTGAGACCAAAAGGAAAGGAGGGGTCGCTATCAATTAAAATCAGCGCAGTGTAGTCGACGTACGGTTCTTTGTACCGTTTATTGTGATATTTTTACGTCCCAGTACCACCGGGTCCCGGCCGACGGAGAGCTTCCCTCGGACCCAGTCTCTGAAGAGTCTAAGGAGTTGGGTGTCATTCCATGTAAGCCTCACTCAAGTCGGATCACCAGTGTCTGTGCTTGCAACTGTGGAAGAATACAGGATCATAGAGAAGACCCTTTTGATCTCAAGGTAAGAAATCATTGCTTTGCTTTTACAGATACAAAGAGTGGTTTTCAATTGAGTGTCATAAAACCAAAGCCAAACAAATTACTTAACAATTAAGCCCCGGCCAAAGGATCGCAACATTTCAACACAACATATGCCAACGTTGTTGGCCCAGCATTTGCAAGCTCCGGCCAAACGATGGCAACATTTGAACGCAACATATCGCAACGTTGTGTTGCGACATGTTGGGTGTTGAAAATCAACCTAGTGCGCATGCCCTGGCGCAACATTGTTGCACGAACCTGGCCAAACGAGTACAACATCATGCAACATCCCCAAATGTTGCATGGAAAATTTGACCAGTTTCAAATTGGAGCCAACAGCACCCAACATGTCGCAACATGTTGCAACAGGGTGGCCAAACGCGCGCAACATGTTGCGCCCAACAGTATTGGGATATGCTGCGTTGAAATGTTGCGATCATTTGGTCGGGGCTTTACACGACTCAGCCAATCTCAAATCGTAGTAAAACGACAACCAAGTACAGTAATCGCCTAGTTACTTTCGACTCTTAATTGAAAACCGTTCTAAAACCTGTACAGATGTGTTGTCTGCAGTCAGTAATAAATAGTGTCAAATAAGATGATTTCAGATTCACATGTTTTCTATCTGAAGTTTGTAACCCCATGCGTTAGGATATAAATATGCCCTGGATGGTTCGTTCGTTCGCTTTGTTCGTTGGTTCGGTCGGTCAGTCGGTCTTGCGCTCGTGCGGTCTTTCGTTCGTTCCTTCGATGGTTGGTTGGTTCGTTTCGTTGTTTCTTCGTTTGATTGTACCTTAGTTCATTTGCTTGTTTTCAATTAATTCTAGAGCTAATTAATTATTTTCAGGCAGCTAACTTGGACTTCTTCCAATTGCTGGAAACAAAATGCTGTGCCTTGCTGGTTCATCTCTTCTTTCCATTTCATCCTATCTTCTCGTCTACAAAAGCTTTAAACAAAGTCCCGGAAGAACCAGCTGATGAGGGACCCATCCTGGAAATGCCTTCAGAGGTGGAAAACCCTTCAGGCGAGGAAGTCAGTTCCGGGGGAGGTATTGATGAAGAACATGCGGGAAATGAAACATCTATCGGTGAAAACTTGGTTCCATCTGTTGATACCCCGAGTGGAACAATACCCATTCCTAACGCAGGAATTCCCGGCGGAGCGGAGAATGTTGGGAGCATGGGACACAGTGTGAGCTCCACATACGGAACGAGTGGGTACCAGTCTACGCTCGATATGATGAGTCATGAAGGGCCTGAATTCAGAAGCATGCTGTCGGAACATAAGAGCGTCATCTCCGTGGGAATCCCAGGTGAAATGAGCGTTGGGTATTCCCAAGATAACTTCCCAACGGGAGGTGAGCAAGCCCATCGCGTGAATTCTCCAAAGAGGTTTTCATCACAACGCCAAGAAATAGAAGAGATCTATTTGGAAACCATGTTGACCAGCGACTCGCCAGCTGGTGTACTACCTCGCTTTCCTTCCTGGTCGCTCTGCCGTCTGAGCAGTGCGAGCGGGTATAGTCCCGCAAAGGGTCTGGACCAACCGGGATTTTTCCCGAACAGCAACTTTCTATTGGCTTGGGACATTCCTCTACTGAATGACAGCCAATCGGATTTAACGAGCCAGTTTGATGGACAGGGAAAACACCTTGGTTCTAAGCAAATGACGGAAGAAGCGTGGCCTACGTTGAATGAGCTTCCTTCCGCCGGAAGTAATATTTCAACACTTCCTCTGCACCAGGCCCTCTCTTACGCTCGTCGTCAATGTGCAGATTACAAAGGAAACACCCCGCCTTTAGTTTCAAATTCGGCACCAGGAAAAGGTACTTCCGGCCCATCTCGACAGCGAGGAAGGCCTTCTCGTGAAGGGGCGTTACCAACGGTGAGGGCTTACATAGGAGAGGAATACGAGTGCCCCAGGGGACATCGGTGAGTACACGAGAATTGCTGGGACTCTGACGGAATCTTAAGTGAATGTGCAAGTTGTCAGCTGTGTGGGATGTTTCCATAAGAATGGGAATCCTAATTTCCTAATCTTAAATACAGCTAGAACTCTCCCGATGAGAACCTCCCTACTTTCTTCCACTGACCGTTAAGTATAATGACAGGACTAACATAAAGCATCTAGCAAGGTACCTCGTGCGAGTTGACATGAGTTATTCTAATGCGCAGGGCCTTCAGAAAGTAATGAAAAGCATTGACAGCAATGCACCACCTTGCGATCCAAATAGAGGCTTGGGGCAATTTGAGACTCAAAAAAGCGCATGCTATTATCCAATTTTTGTAATACCTTAATTAGTTTTTCAGTTTTGTTTCAACACATTTTGAACTCAAATTTAGGTCTCCACCAAATTTTTGGCATGTTTTGTACCATACGGCGAGGAACGGAATAAAAAAACAGGACCTTTAGATACCCATTTAATATTCCCCTCTTTACATTAAAACACTCAACCTACAGTACAATACAAGACAAATTTTATTGTCAACTCCCCATGGGGGCTTTTCAGAGACAATGATAAAGATAATTAAAAAGGAAAAAATACTCAAAGATTATCGATAACCTCTTCCTAACTTGTGTTTCGCACCTTGTCAAGGTTCATTTGCTCAGGCCCTGATAAGATGGTGAAAGCGACCAGTTCCGGTCACGTGAAGGAAACAGCCCACAAGCTGGTGACGTCAGACATGCCTCTGTACTTCCCATGTCCCTGTCGGTCGTCCAAACCTCTCATGGCACAGATGATGCGCGTCTTTGTAGTCACACCTGATTCCCCCGTACTCGTGACTCTTAACCCGCGGGTTCAACCGTCGGCCCCGCCATGTCCCGTGTTCTACCCGGGGGTTAATGCGGGCGTCAGTCTCCCTCCGGGGAGTTTCTGCGTTTTAAGACTTCCGTACGTGTACGTTTCAGAGGAGGGGCCCATTCTGCCACCCAGTGACTCGCAGCCACTGTTGTCGTGTCGCGTGCTGAAGGGGATGTTTTCTTCGATGGGGCATGTTCAGGACATCGCAAGGAGTAATGTGATGGAAGGAAAGCGTTGACGCTTTGAACCTTACCGAAGGATGTGAACTGTGCTGGTTTCAGAGTGATGTGACAGACAGAGAGGGGAGCAAGCATTGAACAGTGATATCTACTAACCTGTTGCTCTCCGGTGAGTCATTGCTGAGCATTGCGATGCAATGCAACTTACGTCGTTGGACAAGTAACAAAACGGTCTCCTTTCCAAGGTGTAATCTGTTTACCTTTAAGTGAACATTGTACTACTTTCCGTTTACGAGAAACATTGTGCTCTCAAGCCATTTAAAGAATTGTCATACATGTAATGCCTACAATCCCATTTAAGAATTGTTATACATGTAATACCTACAATCCCGGCCAAATGTCCTTGGGACACGTGACAAAATACCAACCGGTGCCCCAATATTTTGAAGTGGGAAGTCATAATTCAATCCCCTCCGCCTCCCCCCTCCGCCAAAGCAATGTTATAATAGTCGCTCTACTTTGGACGAATCAACATAAACATTGTGTTGGTGGTTTTGAGGTAGAGGTTTGATAGAGTTGGACAAAAAGACCATATATTAGCCAAAGTACAAAGTGTTCCAAGACTTTTGGCCTGGATAATAGTGTTGACTGCAGAGTTTAGCTTTCTGGTTTTGCTCTGAGGAGAACAAACTCTAGGAACCTTCAATTTAGTGCTCAGTTGTGACCGGCTACCTAGTTATTATTCAGAATTTGTGAGAAAAAGGACAAGAACAACAAGAACGAGAGATTAAGAACTAATGCACGCTAAAACAACAGGCTGGAGTTTTAGCCACTTAGCACGTTTCTGTGCTTCACCATTCCCAATAAATTCCCATGGAGGAAAAAAAGAAGTTATTACCCAAAAAGCCGTTTTTATACGTTCTTAAGGCTTTGGCCTTTCTTAGTGTCAACGTACTTATTAAAACTTTTAAAAAGAGACTGTACATGAAGGGCAAGATCAAAGGCAATGCAACATATTTCACTCACTTTTTTTTTTTCTTTCAACAATACAAAGAAACAGCAAAAGTGCTGTATCAGTCAACCAACACACGATATAGATTTAAACCGCCTAAACTTGTTACAAAGAACTAAAATGTTAAGCGAAACAATTTCGTGGTTATAACCAGTTACAAAATTACAATATCAGTGGGAGATTCAGGCTCACACACATTCCCATTTTTTTGACAGTCACTCATCTTTGCATCTAACTACATAAATATAGAGTATTCGATAGGCTCGATTTCTGCCGCTTTCTCGAGTCCGGTGTACGTTCCTCCCC